CATTCCTGTGTTAAAAATGATTTTGCACCATGAAGACCTTCTGTTCTCTACACTAGTGTGCTGTGCATCCAGCAACACCAACGTCTAAAACAAAACTAAGGAACGATACATTCAAATATTTATGAACTCGCCTTTGTCAGGGAGTTAAGCACACTGACGCAGACTTGCTTTTCAATACGTCTTTGTTTTAACACTTAGCAGCTTTTAATCTTGGCTAGGACTCACTGGAATTTTATTTTACAAGATCCAAAAGCTCTACGTGATCCTTACGAGAAAGAAATATAAGCTTGGTCCCGCCGAATCTACTCATCCCATTTATAAAGGCAACATTCAGGCCGCAAACAGATGGCTAAGGAGCAACACTTTCATGGTTTGAAACAGCTCTTTGGCATTTCAAGTAGCTAAGGCTGGTGGGAGGAGTCCCATGAGCCAAAACCTAACTGCTTTGCACGCTCTTGTTCTTTTGCAAAGAGTATTTGTTTCATTACATATACCAGCAAGTCCACGGTTCTTGTGAGTAGAACCAGACAGCAGAATTTGTTCTGGGGGCAAAACATCTATTTATGAGATCATTGCCCCAGTTCTTAGGAAGCCACGTGTGGAGCATAGCATTTCCCAGGGAAGCTGAGAAAGCTCCATGGTCAACAACAGTAAGGGCTTTGCAAACCCACCCTCCCATTTCAGCACAGTGATCCCACTGGGATGGCAAAGCTGTGGACAGGATAGAAAACCAGACCAAGCAACTGATCTGCCTGCAAAATAATGCAACAAAAATGTTGTGGTTTTGCTATTTCGGCTGGCCCAGTTGCTAGGTCTCTGGACAGACTCAGGAACAACTGTGCTGGCACTAGAGAGAGCGCAGGACTGGGCACAACTCACTGGCATTTTCCATTTTTAGCATGAAAATTCGAATGACTTTACACAGACCCGTGACTCTGGAAAAACCTACCTGTAAGGATCATTAGGGTCTTTGGCGTCACAGACGTCCGCGTGGCCGTGGCAGACACAGCGCCCTCCAATGCTGATATCTTTGATGCTGTAGTAATACTGGAGACCACAAGAAAAGTTGGCCATGAATATGGTTATGACTAACCTTCACAGGTGCTTCCACATGCATGCATACAGACCATGAAAAACTGCCTTACTTGGGACTCAGTAGGGCTTTATTTGCTAAAACGAGTCTCCCCACGTTGGCAAACTCAGCCTCACTAGAGGCAATGGCTGGCTGCAATCTCTGTCAACAGCAACACCTGCCACCAGCCAGAGAGGACATTAACTACAAGTTGTGACTCCCAACACAGCCAAAAAGCCAGGGGCAAGTCCAGCCGAAGTTCCTCAGCTCCGTGTTGCTGACCCCAAGCATGGCTCTTCCCCAAATGCTCAAGGTAGAAGCCTCCAGCAGCAGCATCTGCTGCAGATGCCTCCACCTTGGTCAGAGCAAGAGCACAAGGGGGAACCCCAAAGCAAAATCCAGGGACATCTTTGCCCCCAGAGATGGCACGCACAGCCCTCAAACCCTTCCACCCCCATAGCAGGAGGTACCAAGGGCTGCCTTACCCTCCTGGTCACCGTTGGATCCCGTAAAGCTTTTCCCATCAGATGTCCCAGCAGGGTGTTGGTCTGCAGGAAGCGCAGTCTGATGTTGGTGGCTTTAGTGAAGTTCCGCAGGAGAGGTGAATACGAGAAGTTCATGGCTCCTGGACGCCCGTTTACCAGTGACACAACAATCTGTGAGTGCAAGGAGGAGAAAAAATATAAAAATCAGTGTGATCCTTTGAGAGGAGAGGAAATTAATTTTCCCCTCAGCCAAACCCAAACCTGGCCCCCTTCAAGAAGACTGAATCAGCTCTCTGCCAGCCTCATTCTCTGCAACTGTGTAGCTTAACTCACATCCAAAAGAGGGAACCAATTACTAACAGCATCTGCAGTCATGAGAAAACAAAAGCAGAATTCTCTTATCTTTTTTACACCCCTAAATGACTGCCAAAGAAATCAGCTCCACAGAGCTAATCCCTACGCACAGTTTTGGCATTAAACACAGCTCTCCCTCATGCCAAGCCATGGCTCACATCAAGGCTGCTCAGTCCCCTTGGGTGCTCAGGTCCAGTGCAAACACTGGCACCAATCTGTCTACAGGTTTTATCTTACAGAGGAGAAAGGATTTAGCTTTGGCGGTGCCTGATTGGCTTTTTTTTTTTTTTTTTTTTTTGTCTTTGTGGCCTTTCTGTTTTCCCCTCCTCTTTGCTGTCATCCTCAAAAGCCTCCTGTTGGACCTGTGCTTTGTGCACAGAAATGCCCGTGGGCACTGGACCTTCTCTGTGGGTTCACACCGGCCAGAGCAGTCACGGTCAGCGGCTGGAAGAATTCCTGTGACTCCCGCTCGGAGCACAACCGGCAACGGATATTGCCGACTGCTGCACCCTGGGGCCATTTATCATTGTGGATGTAGACACAAGAGGTAGCAGGTAACATTTCCACACCTCTTCCACAAATGGATATCAGTGTCCAGCTCTGCTCCGGAGCTGGACTCCTGGCCTGGAGGGTCAAAGGATTTTCTTTTCCATGCAAGGAAGCAGTGATCAATGCTCACATATTGGGACTCTTTGTCTTGAGAAGCCTAGTTGTCTCCCCATTTTTTTTCCAGACACAGAAATTCAGGGAACGCCAGTTAACCGCTCACCTCCCCGTTTTCCAAGGGCACGATCCGGGAGTACTCAGTGGTGCAGATGGCATGGTCGTCCTTGGCGATGCGATCCACCGTGTGCAGGCCAAACCTCTCTATGCAGTCCCGCTTGGAGGCTGTTCATCAAGCAGAGAGCAGAGCAGTAAGGGGAGAGGAGGGAAGGAGCTCCGAATTTCCCCATATTCGCCAGTTGGAGAGAAGGTTATATGCTTCATGTTAAGCATTCATTAAATACATATTGCCTTGCGTCGCTCATTCTCCTATGGCTAAAATATATGTCCTCCTCTCCAAGACCGCTCAGAAGGCACTGAGAGCCACCACAAGAATAGTCAAAAACCCCTCCGAAGGCCACACTGCAGTGAATGATTCAGTGATAGAAGGTGACAGTGGACACTAATGACACTGTGTAACCACCTGCAAGAAAAACCTGTCCTGTAGTTTTGGCTTTAAGCTCATAGTTTGACCAGCTCAAGCTCCACGTCTACTCTGCGTTTGGCTGGTTTGATTTGCCAGGTGCTGCGTTTCACATCCGTGTCCCTTCTGAATCTCCTGGATATCTCCCAAAGAACCAGCAAATGGGAACTGCAAGACACGGGGCAGCCTCCTAAGAGAGGGGCCGTGGGGCATTTCCCACAGGACAGAGCAGGGTGGCAGCCGCGGGGAGGGAGCCTGCGGTGCTGGGGTTAGGCAGCACGGCCACTGCAGGACATCTCCTTCCCCATGGTCAGTTGCTGAATTCTGCAATAGCCCTTAAGCCAAAGCTAAAGAGAACAGGAATGTTGAAACTGCCCAAAATTCGTGGCCAGGCGCCACCAGTCACCCAGTGCTGGCCATGGCACTGGCTTCTGGGACCTGAACCCTCATCCCGGGAAAACCCAGAGCCAGTGGGATGGAGCGGGACTGCCCATAGCAAGGAAGGCATCTCCCCAGCACCCTCAGCTCCTTCAGGATTCACCACGGAGCCAGGTGCTCCAGCAGGGATGCAGCCAGAGTGGGCACGTGGCATCAAGGCGGCTGGGACAGCGTAAGTCAAACCCCAGGAGTGCGGGCTCCTGCCTCCATGAGGAACGGCCGCAGAGATAACACACAGGTGAGAGATAAGCCAGGAAAAGCAGCCTTTAGGGGCACCCTGGGGCAAGGACTGCAAGGCCCCAAGCTCCATCCTCGATAGACTTTAAGCTGCAGTTGATCTTAACCATCTCCTCACTGCTGCCTTGCTGGGCAGGGAGGAGCATCACAGCAGTGACACAGACACAGCTCCCAACCCCAGGCGCGCATAAGGAGCAAGATGGCAATGGAAAACAGCCCTTCTCCAGCCCAGCAATGGAAAATGGCCCTTCTCCAGCCCGGCTCCACCACCCGGCATCAGCACCGTACTTACAGGCAAAATACTGCCAGGGCTCATAGGTAAGGCCGAAGTCAGTGGACCGCTCCAGCACCCAGAGGTCAGGACGAGGAGAATTGGCAAATTTGATGAGGACGTACGCCACGTGGAAGAGCTGCAAGAGAGGAACATGGAGTTAGGTGGGTGCGCGAGGCTTCACGAACGCCCCGGAGAGCTCAGCGGTACCCGGTGCAACTGAAGGATGCTCTGCAGAGCCTGCTGCGAGTCCTGGCCTGCTGAGAGGCATCCCCTTGCACCTTGCTCGCAGCATCACTAAATCTTTCGTTACGGCATCTCCACATCCCCTGCTTCACCCAAGGGACCTCAGTTTCATAGTTGGTGGCAGAAAAACCCTGGCCTGGCTCCTTGTTGCATGTGCCCCAGGGATGGGAGCCCAGGAGACCCCCTTGGCTGCAGCACAGCCGTAATGCTCAGCCCACTCGTCTGGACACCAATGTGTGCACACACACCTCCTTGCCAAGGACAAAGTAGATGTGCTCCGTAAAGAGCTAAAATGTCAGCCCTAGAGAGTAACAAAAGCTCCAGCAGAATTTCCCTTCCCCGTCTGGCACGGACTCGCTCCAAGAATCCCCCATTCCATCATGCTGTCAGAAAGCCGTATTTTAAAGGCAAACGAAGTTCTCTTATCAGACAAAATTCCTAACGTCCCAAACAAGCCCAAAGGGGGGTCAGTGCTGGGAAAGCTGCGATTTGTGGCTTGAGGGTCCCTCCTCGTATGGAACCAGCACTGGTGAGCACCCAGCCCCGAGGACACGCAGGTGCTGGGGAAGGTCCGCAGCCCTGTGGATGGACACGAGGCCTCTGCTGAGAAACACACTGGGGAGGATTTTCTTGTCCTTTCTTCCTTTCTTCCCCCTTTTCTGAGCGCTGGAGAGCCCAGAGTTGTGCTCTGTACTCCAAAACTGCATCCTCACTTCTGGGGAACTTCCCAAAAGACCTGTCCCACTCACACCACGAGGGGTAGATATCCAAGGCTAGGGCTGAGATGTTACTTTATGCACTTTCTTGGGGATTTTTGCAGGAAAGCACAACCGCTTCTGCTTCCCTGCGGATTTGGCCATGCTCTCTCAGCTAAATTCTTGCTCAAGTGTCCCGTTCCTGCTTCCACGGTGACCGCAGTGAACCTTGTCCTGGGACAGGAGCCGCATCCTCGCGCTCAGAGAAACATCTTGTCAGCTCTGGTGACTCCCCTGCCCCTCCATCCGACAGTTTATCATCCCGAATGCAAGAGCCGGCCGGAGGCAGATTGCTGCTTCCAGTGCATATGTTGGGAAAACTCACCAAGACGGCGCAGCAGCTCTAAAAATAGGGAGAACTGGCAAGAAGGCCAGACTTCACATTCTGTATTTAGCTTCACTACAGTTCTGCCCAACCAACATGGCAAGAGAAACATCTCTTTTTTTTCCCCCCAGAGCCTTTATTTAGCTCCTATTATCAGCATGATGAATGAAAACCTCTATGCTCTCAGAGTCTTAGTCCTTTTTTTTTTCCCTTCTCCATAGGGAAGGGAGGTGAAGCTCCAGATTTAATGCACATATTTGTCTCAGGATAAGCAGACCACACATTATCTCTCAATATCCTAACTGCTGCTAAATATCCCGCAGGATCACATGCATGGATAGCATTACCGAGCTGCTCTGCTTCTGCTTGGGATTCCCTGGAAGCACTGGATGGCCGGACACTCCAGGTCCATGAACTATCCCGCTCTTATCTTTCACCTGCAGTCACTTCTTCTCGCTGATGTGATCTATTTACACGTTAGCAACCTAATTGTCCCCCTGCTCAGCTGCAACCATCAAACCCATGCATATTCCTAGCCCAGAGACCTTTATATTAGAAGAGATCCTCTATATTAAAGAGGGCTAGTTTCACTGTTAGTAAACACATACTTCCCATCACGCAAGAAAGATTTCAACCCTGCTAGGCAGCTTGAAAGGTGCTTCCCCCTCCGAGCACGGGTGTTTTCTTCTCTCATTCATTTTTTATAAATTTCTCAAGGCCCCAAGACCAGAAAAGCCAAGTACAGGAGTCAGAATGTGAAACTCTGTCGTGGACCAAAACAGTCCTGCCACAATTAAAGAAAAACACTGAGAATTGAGAGGTGCAATATTTCTTAACAGCTGCAGCACCTCCCATCTATCAACACATAGAAACCAACTGGGTCAAAGCAACAACCTTGAGCACAAGGTGACAAAAAAGCCCCACTAAAAGACCACGTCCTCCATCCCTCTGCAAGCCAAGGACAGTGGCCCCCTCGAGAGGGTTTCAGCAGCTCCATTGCACGATGCAAAGCGCCGGCATCCACGGAGCCTCGACGGGCTGGCGAGCGGAGCTGCCTCCCCCGGAATGTCAGAGCGCGGAGGGCCAAAATTCCTCAACTTCCTCCAAACTGCTCCTAGCTGGGAGCCTGCTCTGACCTTTCAGGCTGCTTCGTTTCTTCTCTTCTGCAATTAAAAAGAAACAGCAGCCCGGACATCTAGTTTTGCACAACATCTGCATGGAAACATCCAGGCTTGGGGGAGGAAGCTGAAAAAAACCCTCGTGGTGCTGGTATAACATATAGCACCTGCATGGGGCTGCTAAACTGTACAGAAAAATAACCCAGCTCGCATGGAAAAAAGGGTGCTCGAATGCAGTGAAGTAGCAGAGCAAGGGGAGGGAGGACCAAAAACAGGAAAAACTGGTACTGTAGCCTGGGAGCGGAGGGCTGAGCTTTCCAGAGCTGCTCCTAGACCAGGCCCTGCTTTAGGGGAGGCTCAAACCCCAGCGGGGCTGAGCGACCCCGACAGCGGTTCCCCAGCTCGGCCCTCGATCCAGAATTGGGCAAGAGACAACGGGATGAAGCCAAATTCCTAACGGAGCGGGCGCGGGGGAGCGCGCGGAGCCGCGCGGTGCAGGACGGGCTGCTGCCGGCCGGAGGGTAAAGGGCAGCATCACGCGGAGGATTAGCGGAGCAGGAACGCGGGGCAGGGGGGGCGCGGGAGGGACCGTGTGACCAGGCGGATGAGCAGACACTTTAAGGGGACTAAAATCCAACTTTTTTTTTTCTTATTTTCTTTCCAAGTGAAGTATTCTACATGATGCCCTAAGGCTTTGAACACAAACTTGCGCTCAGCAGTAAGGTGCCCCGAGTGAGGCACAAGTGCAGCCATTTGGGATACGCTACAATCCAAGCAGGCTGCACGGAGCAGTCCCAGAGGAGAACAAGCATCTCCATCGGCACAAAGTAAAGGTTTCCTTGAACTTCCCGGCGTGCCAGCTCGGCTGGAGCCGCTGCAACGCGTTACCTCCCCTCACAGCGTTCGCCTTTGGTTCTCTTATCTTTAGCCCCTTCCTGCCCCGGCTTCAGAAAAAACATTTAACATCCCAGGCTCAATGGGATCAACAAGATAAAGAAATAAACAAAGAGGCAGCCCAGAGGAACAAGCTCCTAGCCCTCTCAGGTCAAGAAAAGCCCCCAAATTCCCGGTTCTCCCCAGGCGGCTCCAGGTACAAATCGCAGCCACAATCACCGCTCTGCTCCAGGAATTGCATTTTCCGCTGCCCTCCGCAGCTATTTACTCATTTCCAAACCCAGCTCGGGCATCCTGGCCATCCAAACCTGATGCTAACGAAGCCCCACGTGCAATTAGCTCCTCATTGGGAGGATGGGGGCTCTGACACCCAGCTGTGCTGCCGGGTATTCACCTACTCTGGCTACGCTGCGAGGCGCTTGCAAAGCAACTTTGAGGTCACGGGGGCTATGCAAGTTTTGGGTTATTTTTAGGACTTCAAATTACGGAGGGAGATCCGGGAATACTTCACAAATCCAGTCCAGTTCCCACAAAGTTCAAGACCCAGTTGCTCACAAACTCATTTTATCCTCAAGGGTCTGCTCTTAATGTTTGGCTTATGCCCTTCTGCTTTTATTGGTATTTTAATTTTTAAAAATATTCCTATTAAATACTATTTTAAAGGGAAAACATGTTGTAGTCTTTGCGGGTAGGACAGATATTTTAAAGTATTTTCCACATTGGGAACAAAGGTCTAGAACAGCTGAAAAGTCTGTTCACAGTCTCCCCCTTCCTTTAGCTTAGGGCTGTGGTAAGAAAAAAAGGGGAGAGAAAGAGAAAAGGGATGGGGCCTCCCTGAGAGAGCAGCAGTGATTTGTGCTTCAATTCAATCTCTGCAGCTCAAACTTTTGGGTAACTTCTCCACAGGCAGCATCCAAGTCCATTCCCATGTCCACGTACCCATCTCCTTGTGTCCCCAAACAGCACCTGGCTGTGTGAGAGCAGAGAGAAACCACGTGCCAAACTGCAGTGACACAGTTATCCAAGATTAGGATAGTGCCAGCCTGTGTCCTAGGCCCTTCCTATTTGTGGAAGTGTCCTGGCCAGCCGGGATCACTACAGCACGCAGGCCGGAGCATCCTCGGTATGAGCAAAGCGAATGCTGGCAGAGGCAGGAACACTGCACGGAGCGGGAATTTATCCCTCCTCCTCATCCTCATCCAAAATAGCCCCCTCGGCGGCTTCAAACCCGGCAGCTCCGGGGTCAGCTGAGGAGAGAGCAGCCGCAGGCTGGGGATGTGCTGTGCAAAGGGAGGCGGCACTCGAAGCCTCACGCGAAGGGGCCACTGACGACTGCTGATTTTTTACAATTTTTCAATTAAACAGCAGCTGCCTGGGGACAGAATGAGACACTCGGGTATCGAGTCTCCATCCAGATAAAGAAAGGGACAGTGAAGGACCGAGGTGAGACCGCAGTGCTCCCGCGCGTGTTCAACAAGCGCTCGCGCTCCTTTGTCTGCAGCGCATTACGCTTTGACATATTTATTGCCATCCCCGTCGGAAGAAAGAAACATTTCTCTTGGACATAATGAAGAACACATTTCCAGTGCTTAACAGCTGGAAGCTGGAAAGGTGGCCAAAGAAAATCCCTAAGTTTCTATCTTTGCCTTTAAAACAAGTATCTGGTGAGCTCGTTCACTGGGACAGAGCGGCTCTTCTGGACTAGTGTGGGGAAAGAGGACGTTAAACCTGGCCACAGCTCCCGGGCAGGGCTGATGATCGTACCACGATACCAACCTGAGTGCGATACCAACAGCTCGTTTCTGTCTGCTTGACCTCAGTGGGACGAGGAGGCCGCTTGGATTTAATGAAATCCAGCAACTCCCCCAGACAGAGGTTTTGGTTCCTATCGGCTGCCTCGACATGAGCAAATTCTCCGATCTGTCCCCAGATCCTCCTTGGAGGTCCCCACGGTGCCCCATGGCCCAGCCAGCAAGCCCCAATGTCCCTGTTTTAACAGAAACCTTTCCCAGCTCCCCATCACTCGTCCACAGACCTTCCGTCTCTACCCTAAGGGTCTTCCCAGAGTCCGGAGCTGTTCAGCAATCAAACACCACGGAGCGGCGGGTCCAAGATGGGAATGAGGGGAAGCGGCACCAATCTCGATCCTTCGCCGCATCTGGACCGTGTTGTCCTGAGATGGTGCTGGGCCTCCTCAAACCTTCCCAGTTCCTTGGGAGGGAGGACTAACGTGGACTTGCTTCCAAACCACACTGTGTTTTTGTGGCTAAAACAGGAAATAAATGGGACTGAAGAGCATGCAGGCAGTCGCATGGCAGCCGACTGTATCACTTGTCCCAGTGGTTGTTGCTGGTTGTGGTCCCCAGAAACACCTGACATCCCCCAAAGGACACGGCCGGGCAAGAGGAAAGGTGCAGAGCCAGAGCTCTCCTCGTGCTCCATTCTTGTTTCCTTCTCCAAGGAGCAACCCTGGAACCCAAAGGCCCTTGCAGACTGAGCCGTGTCACCTTGAGGACACACACACACACACACACGCACACACACACAGCCCTTTCCTTCACCAGAGCCTTGCTGCTCCTCCTGGCAAACGTGAGGCATTTTCCGGAGGAGCGGAGCTGGCTCCCGCTCTTTCCAGCGCTCCCTTATCCAGCTCAGCAGGCAACCAGGCTCTGCCAGAACAAACAGGACATCAAATAAACAGCACGTGGGGACGGGGAGCCCCGCGGGCGCTCGGCTCGCGCGCTCCAGCGGCGCCGGTGCCGCTTGGCCGAGGGCTGACGCTCTCAACACATCTATGTGCCCCGCTATGCCGGGCAGAGAGACGTCAGGATGCCAAGGGGAGGCCAACTGCAGACACCGTCATTCACGTCCATCCTGCTCGAGTGATATCTAACCCCAAACAGCCCTGATCCACCTGCTCATATGGCTAGGGGGGAATTTCTCGCTGATGAAGCACCAAGTCCTCCATCAGGACGGGAAGGAAAGGCAGAGCTCCAAGCAGCCGGCACGGATGCGTGGAGCAGCGGGGCGTTTCGGATCGTGCTGCTGACCTAGTTTCAAGTCCGGACGGTTTCTATTCACAGAGGAGCCGCCGCTGGGCACAGCGGAGACGTCACTGTCCCGTAAGGCACCTGTCACCCCTGTCCCTCTCGGAAACCCAACCTGGGGCAGTTACACCACAAGTTCACCCCCATCCTGTCCAGGGCTCATCCTGTTCACAGCCCCAGCGGAGGCACAAACTGCACCGTGTCACATGGCTGAAACCAGACACCAAAATGGGGAGAAAAACCCCCAAACCCCTCCAGACCAGAGCGCCGAGGAGCTCCTGCTCCACACGGCGGCGGGTTCACGTCCTTTCCTTGCCAGCTTGGTGGGTGCCTGGTGGCAGACGTAGGATGCTGCCAGCCCTGCAGGGTCCGCAAGGAGAGGGGAAGGAGGCGGCATTCCCGGCCCGGGAGCGAGCTGTGCTTGGCAGCCCGAGGGAGGCCACCACTCGGTACAGCTTGGCCCTCGAGGGGAGATTATAAATATTTTCCAGGATAAGCATTTGTAAACAGTGTCTTTCAACATGTCCAAGACCAGACTCTTGATCTGCTGTTTCCAGAAGGAGTCGTCATCTTCAAAAGCAGGGAGGCAAGGCCGGGTGCCCAAACTGGGCAGCCACAAGGAACCAGTACTGCTGGCACCGCCGTGCAGAAGCTCTTGGTAGGGTTATAGCAGATGAGGCAGCCACCAAGCCCAGCACTCTCACGGCCTCCAGAAATCAGATCTGCTCGGGGAAGCGCCATCGTCCCAGTGCTGCCACCGAGGCACTGAGGTGACATCCTGCTAAGAGCAGAGCAGTTTGGCACCCGCTGCGGCACCGCGCGCCTCGGAAATCCATCCCAGCTCGGTGGCGGCAACTTCACCCCTGCAGCTCTTTGAAGAGCTCCCTCTCCTCCCTCCATGCTTCGGCCAAGAAAGCAGATTCTGGGTGGTCCCTGCCGAGGCTGTAAATTGGCTTGTTGAAAGCCTTAGCAAAAGAGAGGTCAGATGCCTTATAAACGGAGCGGGAACAGCAGCGCGGCAGAACTATTTGCACGTTATTCAAAGGACACACGCGTGCACGGAGCTGCCTGCACCGCGCGGGGTGTCAGACACGGCCACGTCACCCACGTTCCTTGGAAGAGCAAAGATGCAACCCTGAGCGCGAGGCCCCACAACGCGACAGGGCCAGGGTGCAAGTGGAGCAGGTGCCATGTGCCACCAGGGACAGCAGAGGTAGAAGACGTGTCCCCCTAGGGAAGCAGGGCTCAGCCCTGCGCTCCCTCTCATGCAAACAGACATCTCCTTGCAAGGAGCAGTGATAAACCCCCCAGGCTCTTCTGCAAGCTCAAGCACAAGAAGCAACACCGTGAACACACCTGCCCCGTGTGTACACGTGAACACAACACCGAGACCAGGGGCTGCCTGGAGGGGACCGCCCGCTGCAAAGCGGCAGCTGAAATGGGACTGCAAGAGAGAAGCAGAAGGAACCACAACGTTTCTAATCAGGGGCAGCAGTTGCAGCAGCCGGTGGGAGCCAGGCCGGGCTGTCTGCATGGACAGCGACACATCCCCACGGGTCTGCAACCTGCTCCAGGAGCCCTCGGCCCTCCAAACGGGAACTGCCTCCCTGAGGTTTCACTTCGGGTGAACTCCAGCGGTCCCTAAGACCTTCCTCCTCCTCCTCCTCGGTGCCTGCTGCTGGGAGCCGCAGCATCGCTGCCCGCAAACACCCCGGCTGCTCGAGCAGCCCCTCCTGCTCCCACTGCCCGGGAAGGGCAGAGATAAGGGGAGAGCTGGAGCAGGGCTTGAGCGGGCTGGAAGAAAGCTGCGATTTAGTGCAGATAAAGGGGGCGGGTGTGTGAGCACACACACTTGAAAGAGACCACGCAGGAGGGCAGGGCAGAGGCATGCGGAGGGAGGGGACTGGGCAGATACCGGTCACTTCGGAGGTGGGGAAGAGGGGTTTGAGCAATGAGTGCCCCAGTCTGACGAAACACATCCAAGCACAAAGAGCAGCTCCTCACAAGGGGCTCTGCAGGTGCCCGGGGAACCCTGGCACGGAGGGAGCATCCTCCTCCCATCCCATCTCAAGCCACAGGGCACTTGCAGCATCAAGGGGCGATCCCGACTCTGCACCCATCCCAAACCCAGGGCTGCAGGACACAGTGCTGGAGTGACAGCAGCTCCGCAGAGCCCAAAGCAGCCACCAGCCCCTGCCCAGTCAATCACGACTCTGTTCTACCCATTTGAGCTGCTGGCCACGGCCCAAGCTAAGCCAGGAATAATATTTCCGCACAGCCCTTACTCTGAGCATGCAATTCTCCAGGTTCCTAGATGGGACACGTTCATTTTTCACACTGCTAAGGGGAAAGCAAACAGCTTAAGCGCCTCTGTTCCTACACTAACCCTCAATCACGTCTGCTGCCTATCTTATCAGCACAGCTTTAGCGGCCTTTCTAAGCTGGCCTTCAGAAACCTGGAGTGGGGGGTGGAAAAGAAGAAAAAGAAAAAAAAACCCTTCTATTCATACTTACCAAAGCACAGCACATTTTCAAGAGGACATTCCTACCACGCAAAACAAACAGAGCTTCCTGACTCTATATTCTAGATATTGTTTAAGTTTCAGTAATACCTACCCAGGTTTGTTTGCAAGACAACTTGAACTTTAGATACTCTTAGGACTTTCTGCACCAGTTTACAACTGAGATGGAAAAACTGGGCAAAACAATCCTTTCAAATTCAGACAGGACAATTTACCACTTTTCTTGCTGCAGTTATTACAGATCTGGATTTGTTACCAAAAAAAAAAAAAGGCATTCTGCAGTGATGGGAGGACTTGGGTGTCACCAAGATGAGTCTGCAGCTGCAAGCTGCAAAGTGGTGAACTGTGCAGGGACAAGCACCTTAACCACACAACTAAACCTCAGAGAAAATCTAGGCCTATCACAAGTTTGGCACTTAAGTCACCTAAAGGAAAAAACCCACCAATTTTAATCTTGACAAGGCTCAGTTTGCATGCAATTTTGCATCAGAGAAAGGCTTTTGTTTGGAAAAGGATCAATTTGGCCCACTGCCCATCAAGGTGATCTCCTTCCTTGTGCTTACGGTGCCAGAGAACATCCCGGTCACACGTTGCACTTCCAGAGCGGCAGGAAAGCCCCTCCAGGTTACACGGCACCCCCGGCTCCGAGCGTTTCCTTGGAACGTCCTTTTGGAGGACGGAGAACAAAGCCACCTTGGCCAGGGGCCATGGCTGCAAGCACATACTTCCCCCATTGCCTTGAATTGAGTGGATATCCTGTTACAGACCTGCAACCAAGGGAAGGGTGAGGTGGGGAAGGAAAGGGAAGAGGATGAATTAGCTAAAAACTGGCACAAAGTGATGGGATCTAGCATGCCACAAAAGCCACCAAGGGGATCTTCATACTTGTGCAAACCTGAGGGAAACCCAAATTCATCAGCACCCAAGGAGCAGTAGTACCTAAGTCCTTCCAAGAGTAGAACTGGCTGGAATCACCTGATCTCTATCTGCTTCCGACCCTACCGCTTCCTTCCCCCTCCATTTCCTTCTTGCTCAGTTCAGCTCTGGAAAACTCTTTTCAGGAGCCAACTTTGGGCAGCAGCTCCAGGTCATTCACGTACGGAGAAAATCCAGCTCCCACAGGGCCTCTGCACTTGACCGCAAGCACAGCAAGGACATCCCCATGCTCACCTCCAGCTTCCAGACCTTCCAGCAATATCACTTTTTGGTATTTTTTCCGCACGGCTCCTGCAAGCCCCAGTAACACTGCACTAAGCACCCCTGTTGTTAGCAGATTTTGACAATGCCAAACGCAGCACGTGCTGGCAAGTTTATTCTTCTAAAAATCTGTGTCCTAGCTGTGCTCTGCGCTAGCACTTGTCAGCAAGCTCCCCCACCGCGACAGCGTCGTTCCGAGCTGGCTTAGCTGACCCAACAGCAGCGCATACTGTGGCCGCAGCGGGATTAACATTCCCAATGCCGCTGCTAGCACCGGCACAGAGCTGCAGCTCCAGCGCCTGGAGGCAGTTCCTGCTGCCACTGGAGCACATGAGGTTCACAAATACACGGGTTTTGTAGCAAAACCCAGAAGAACCTGGTGTTTGCAGATTCGTTTACACATACTTGAAGCAACCTGCTCCAAGGCAGAGAGCAATGACTGGTAAAGAAAGGAAAAACAGAAAATCCTGAAGCCCAGCCAAAGTTTGATGCTCACTGAAACTTGGGTGCATGGAGACTTTGCAGAAGACTGAAAAAGGATTAAGCATCAGTTTTAGCAAACAACCAGGACAACATGATGAAGCCAGCGGTACTGACTACTGTTTGCAGTCCTGCGCCTGTGTTTACAGTTTGCAGCTATGTGCAAACACCAGAAAGTCATTCTTTTCCTCTTCCCCTCAGAGCTTGGCATCACAGGCGTTTAGCTGGATCCAGAGATGCCACGGCAGCAGGCCAGCTGTTTACTGGTCACGCTGCACGTTCCTGTCCGCAGCACCAGGAACTTGTAGGAACCCATGAACAGGGCTCAGCTGGGCATGCGTTAGAGCTCAGCATGCTCTGGATCAAAGCAGGCAAATTGGGGAGAGCAGCTAAGAGTGCTTGTCAAAAGTTGTGTGTCAGATCTTGGGATCTGGCTGTTTGCTTGACACGCGCTGCAAACAGCCACAAAGGAGACTCAAGATGCCAAGCAGAAG